GAGTCTTCCTCCAATCCTGATGCCACGTTTTCCTTTATAGAATCCAGCTTCCTGGAGGATTTGCTCAGCATACAGATTTGTTAGTGCCATCAAATCGCTTCTGACTCACAGCGACCATGTTGGGGTTTCCAAGGAGTGACTGGTGAGCTTGAACCATCTCTTGCGGTTCAAACCGACCTTGGAGTCCGTCGCATTAACCTGCAGCGCCTAGCATCCAGTGAGGAAAGTTTTGAGGCTTGAATTTTTAATTCAGTTCCCTTAGCTTGAGAAATGCCGAGGGGGTTCTTCCCATTTGGTTTTCTAACTCCAGGTCTTTGCACATTTCATTGTAATATTTGACTTTGTTGTCTAGAGCTGACCTCTAAAATTTTCTGTTCAGCTATTGTACCTCCTCACTTCTTCCATTTGCATTAGCATCTCTACGCTGAAGAGCAAGTTTGAGTCTCTTCTGACATCCATTTTGGCCTTTTTCTTCTTTGTGTTCTTAATGACCTTTTGCTTTCTTCCTGTAGGATGTTCTTGATGTCATCCCACAACTCTTCTGGTCTTCAGTCTTTAGTGTCTTACTCATCAATTCTGTCCTTGAGATGTTTTCTAGGGTTACAGTTAGTTTATTTTCATTTTCTTTTGAAATCAAATTGATTTTCTCTTCATTTGGAAGTTCTATATTTTGTCTTTTTATTTTATGGTCCTATTTTTGTTTTTTTCATCTGTATCTTCAGTTCTCTGTTTTCATTTTTGCAGATCTCTTTATTTTGAGTATGTCTGTATCTGGGACTCCTGATGTGGCGCTCTAGGATCAGCATTGGACTAGGAACCATAAGGTCAGCAGTTCAAACCCACTAGCTGTTCTTTGGAAACCCTATACAGTGTCGCTATGAGTTGGAACTGATTCGATGGCACTTAATAACAACAACAAATATCTTGGTAGAGTTTGAGGTGATACCGTCACGTATTTTAGCCTGAGGTTGTTGCCTACTGTTGATGGTTCTCTTTTAGTATTTTTTTGTAGGGTTTTTCTCGTTTCTACAAATTCTTTTATTTTCTGTTTATCTGTAAATGATCTAATTTCACAGTCATATTTGATGGATAATTTTTTTTGTTAGATATGTGAATCTTGGTTGGCAATTTGTTTCTTTCAGAGTTTTATGTGTCTTTCTAGTTCTTCTTTGTAGCTAACGTTTTGTTTTTCTTGACCTGCTCTCAGAATTCGTTACTTATCTTCGGTTGTGAAGTTTGACTCTATGACTCGGTGGTTTTCTTTTGGTGTCTTACCTTGTTGGGAGTTGGTGCAACTTCTTGCATGACTGTTCTATCTTCTTTCATAATGTTAAGGAATTTTCTTCCAACATTCTTAGATAAATTTTCCTGTGGGTTTTTCTCTTCTTCTTCCTGATCTGGAAGTCTAATCACAAGTAAGCTGTATGTAGTGTGCCACATATATCTTAAGTTTCTGTTCATTTTTAGGTAATTTTTTCTGATTGTTCTGTAGCAGATGGATATTGAGAGATTTTTCCTCACTGCATTGCATTGATTCATTTCTACTTCTTTATCAGTTTTTGAAGTCATACTGTGACTCTTCTAGCTTTCTAGTTGTTGTTTTTGTATGGTTTGAATTTTTTTCATTTATTTTTGTCAGTTTTCCTGAATTCTTCTAGAGTTTTGTCTGTGTTTTCCTTGGTTTCATCTGCAGTTTTCTCAGTCATTCTTTTACTCCTGTGTTGTTGTTGTTGTTAAGTGTTGTCGAGTCGGTTCCGACCCAGAGCGACCCTGAACAGGGTTTCCGAGGCTGTAAATCTTTATGGGAGCAGAAAGCCTCATCTTTCTCCACAGAGCAACTGGTTAGTTTCGAACTGCTGACCTTGAGGTTCGCAGCCCAATTCGTAACCACTACGCTGCCAGAGCTCCTTAGACGGGACCTAAATAGCGTGCTTAGGAATGCCTCATCAAGTAGTTCTGATACAATGGCTGCTATTACATTGTCTGAGTCTGTATTTTGATCACTTATTTGAGGCACAATGTCTTGGTTCTGTGTGTAAGCTGACACTGCCTGTTTTCTTGGAGGCATTGTGCTGTGGTGTTTACATGTCATTAGGGGCTGTACATGTGCTCTCGGGCACTCACCGTCCCATCTCTGGGAGGATGTGGTAGAGACCAGAAGTGGGAACCCAGCTCCCTGTTCTCTGTAGAGAGTTGTTCAGGGCAGCTTCTCGGGCCTCCAGAAGGAGGGGTGCTGTGCAGGAAGGGGGTGCCACTGGCTCCTGGGTTGGTGAATGGGGACTGACCATGCCATCGACTACCAGGAAGAAACAAGGGAAAACGGTACCAACTTGCTGCCAACCCTCAGCTGCATCCTGCGCCTGCAGGCAACTGTGTCAACAGCCACTTGCAGAAAGCCCAGCCGCTGCCCCTCAGTGCACCCAGCCGCTGTCTGTCAGCGCACACAGCTGATGCCCCTCAGTGCACCCAGCCGCTGTCTGTCAGCG